AGAGATGATGCCCCGCTGACCTGGCCAGGGTGAGATGGTGGCCCGGTGGATGGCCTGGGAGGCCCGGGACTTGCAGTAGTCAGAGTGCAGGAGGGTGTTGAAGAGGGTGGACTTCCCGGTGTTGGTGGCGCCCACCAGGTAGACGTCCCCATTGAACTTCCAGGAGCGCTGCAGCCGGCTGATGAGCTCCTCCAGGCCGAAGCCGGTCTTGGCGCTGATCAGGTGCGGCTCCTCCTTGGCGGGGAGGCCCGCTTGGGCGCAGGCCTGGCGAAGGCTTCCCCGCAGGCGGCGCAGGTAGTCGTGGGAGTCTCCCGGGAGAAGGTCCACTTTGTTGCCCAGCACCAGGAGGTGGGTTTGGTCCCCGACCAGGCTGGACAGGTCGGGCAAGAGCAGCGATTCGGGGAGGTCGAGGAGGTCGGCCAGGAGCAGCACTAAGGGCGGGCGGTTGTGGCGCGAGGGGGCCTTCAAGGCGGCGCCGACCAGGCTGCGGAACTCCTCCCGGGGCAGCTCCACCCTCAGCGCCTGCCGGTGGTGCACCAGGAGCCAGCAGCGTTGGCACACCGCCCCCTCCAGGCCCTCGCCGCCTTCCCCCTCCTCCTTCAGGCTCCGGAACTTCTCGCTGGGCAGGTAGCCAGGCAGAGCCGGGTCGCGGCAGTGCAGCTCGGCCCCACAGCCCGGGCAGCCCACGCCGCTGGCCGGCAGCGACGGGTCCGGGAGGCCCGAGGCCTGGTGGAAGCTCGCCCGAGGAGGCTTCCGGCGCCGCTCTTCCGGCCTCGGGCCTGCTCTTTCTCGCGGCGGCGCGGGAGGCTTCTTCTCCTCCGGGCCCGGCTCTGAGGGGAGGTACTCTGGGAAGACGAACTCCTCTTCTCCTTCTGCCGCGGCCCAGCCCCTGCCTAGGCCCGGGAAGGAGGCCAGGCCCCGGCGAGGCCTTGGGAGCGCCCCACGCCACAGCCGCCCCAAATGCAGCGCCCGCCTCAGGCCGTTCATGCTCCTCCGTGAGGGAAAGCTGAGGGAAGGACAGCGAGGGCGAGGGCCAGAGCGGCCCCAGCCAACGAGGGGGCTTCTTCCGGAAGCAACTCCGCCCCCTATCGGAGGCGCCTGGGCTCTGCATAACTTCTCCTTTCAAGCTCCTCTGAAATGTGGCTGGGCCTCAAGGCTAGGCAATGAGTCTTAAGGCTAGGCAATGGGCCTCAAGGCATTTTCCCGAATGAAGCAGAGAGTGTTTGAAGACCGGGGCATTGAATCATAGAATCAAAGAGTTGGAAGAGACCTCATCCAGTCCAACCCCCTGCCAAGAAGCAGGAATATTGCATTCAAATCACCCCTGACAGATGGCCATCCAGCCTCTGTTTAAAAGCTTCCAAAGAAGGAGCCTCCACCACACTCCGGGGCAGAGAGTTCCACTGCTGAACGGTTCTCACAGTCAGGAAGTTCTTCCTCATGTTCAGATGGAATCTCCTCTCTTGTAGTTTGAAGCCATTGTTCCGCATCCTAGTCTCCAGGGAAGCAGAAAACAAGCTTGCTCCCTCCTCCCTGTGGCTTCCTCTCACATATTTATACATGGCTATCATATCTCCTCTCAGCCTTCTCTTCTTCAGGCTAAACATGCCCAGCTCCTTAAGCCGCTCCTCATAGGGCTTGTTCTCCAGACCCTTGATCATTTTAGTCACCCTCCTCTGGACACATTCCAGCTTGTCAATATCTCTCTTGAATTGTGGTGCCCAGAATTGGACACACTATTCCAGGTGTGGTCTAACCAAAGCAGAATAGAGGGGTACCATTACTTCCCTAGATCTAGACACTATGCTCCTATTGATGCAGGCCAAAATCCCATTGGCTTTTTTTGCCGCCACATCACATTGTTGGCTCATGTTTAACTTGTTGTCCACGAGGACTCCAGGATCTTTTTCATATCTGTAGGGATACCAAGCTGCTTGTTTATAAAGCTATTGTCCTCCTAACCCTGCTATACGCCTGCAAGACGTGGACTGCCTACAGACATCGCATGCAACTCCTGGAACAATTCTATCATCTTCCTCCCGAAAATCCTGCAAATCTCTTGGGAAGACAAGCGGACAAATGTCAGTGTGCTGGAAGAAGTAAAGACCACCAGCATTGAAGCGATGGTCCTCCGCCATCAACTCCGCTGGACCGGCCACGTTGTCCGGATGCCCGACCACCGTCTCCCAAAGCAGTTGCTCTACTCCGAACTCAAGAACGGAAAACGGAATGTTGGTGGACAGGAAAAGAGATTTAAAGATGGGCTCAAAGCCAACCTCAAAAACTCTGGCATAGACACTGAGAACTGGGAAGCCCTGGCCCTTGAGCGTTCAGCTGGAGGTCAGCTGTGACCAGCAGTGCTGTAGAATTTGAAGAGGCACGAATGGAGGGCAAAAGAGAGAAATGTGCCAAGAGGACATCAAGCCAACCCCGACTGAGACCACCTTCCATCTGGAAACCAATGCCCACACTGTGGAAGAAGATGCAAATCAAGAATAGGGCTCCACAGTTACCTACAGACCCACCCCCAGTACATCGATCTTGGAAGACAATCCTACTCGGACAATGAGGGATCGCCTAAGTAAGGCCTCAAGGAGCCCCCGGTGGCGCTGAGGAAGACATCATTTTTAATAGAATTTTCATGGGTGCTTCCAAAGATTGAAAGCCCCATATGTCCTCATTGTGCAGAGGCCTTTGCTTGCAAAAAAACACTGACAGTTGGGGAAAATGCTGCCGCAGAGAGGAAGTTACCTCTCAAATAAAAATTCTCAGGACAAAACTGGTTAGCTAGTACGCCCTAATTTCCCAGCCGCTTGAAGTCCATGCTTGAAACAGAAAAGCAGATAAGACTGGACAATTGAGACATTCAGGGCCATAAATATGAAAGCACAATTGTGCGATTGTTAGCCACTGTGACTGTTTGCCTTCTTGGTTGTTAGAGTCATAGAGAGCCAATGAAAATCGGTTAGTCAGCTTAGACCAATGGATTGATTGCTTTTTGTACACCAATGAGACAATGCTTTCAATTTTCTGTGAAAGTGATAAAAAAAATTGCAACCCCATTTCAAGTTGCAACAAACGTTTTGTGCAGTGGGCACAAAATGACCTGCTGTCACTTGTTGCTTTGGCCCGCAATAAAAGCCTTTTTAGAAAGAATCCAACTTGTGGCCTCTTCCTTGCACCGCAGGCCAGGCGTTTAGGGGACTCCTAAGCTTATGCAGAATTCGGCTGGAGTACTGGTGAGCCATTGACCTACAGCACATTGAGTTAAACCCTTGTGCCAGCAGGACAGCTGACCGATAGGTCAGCAATTCAATTCCAGGGAGAGCAGGTTGAGTAGGTCCTTCTGTCAACTCCAGCTCCCCAGCACAAGGGTTTAACTCAATGTGCTGTAGGGCCTCCCACAAGGACGGTAAAAGTTCAAACATCCAGGCGTCCCCTGGGCAATATCCTTGCAGACAGCCAATTCTCTGACACCAGAAGCGACTTGCAGTTTCTCAAGACACCCTTGAAACTAAATAAAAAGCCGTGAAGGCAATAGCCCTCAAAGGCAAGGGCAAACATGTGGCACTCCAGGTGTTCTGCACTTCAATTCCCACAATTCCTAACAATTCAATTTCCCACAATTCAACAGAAAGGAGGAAACCATGGAAAAAAGCAAAATCTGGCTACCAGTATTAAAAAATTCTAAAATCAGGACAGTAAATAAAGAACAACACTTAGGAAACAGAGGAATTCCAGACAGGAAACAATCAGGGCCAGTTAACTCCTCCCAACAAAGGATTCCCCCCAGGTAGGAAGCAACCAGCCTTTGAAGCTGCAAGGCTATTCAATGCTAATTAAGCTGGCCAATTGCAACATTCACACTTGTCTCACCCTGGACATTTCACAGATATATAAACCCCACTTGTCGTAGTCCAGCACCCAAATAGTTTCGCCATGTGGGCTTTCTTTATGCAAAACCAGTGATTTCCAAGCCTAGCTTTTCCAGCTGTTTTGGACTTCAACTCCCAGCAGCCTCCAGCAGATTGTTCAACAGTGATAAATTCTGGGAAATGAAATTCAAAACATCTGGATGACTAATATTTGGGAAACACTGGATAGACTCCACTATTGTCTATAGCAGGCATGGTATATATTATTACTTGTTGTTCATTCGTTCAGTCGTCTCCGACTCTTCGTGACCTCATGGACCAGCCCACGCCAGAGCTCCCTGTCGGCCGTTACCACCCCCAGCTCCCTCAAGGTCAGTCCAGTCACTTCAAGCTTGTCTAGTCTATAGCTTTCTTTGGCATCACCCTGTCGTGCGCACAATCGAACTGCGCAGGCGCCAAGGCTCAAGCTCGTTCAAAGAAAGCGCGTGCGCGAAGAGAAGGGCCTCCAAGGCTCTCTCTGGAGTGAACGGAAGTGACGTTTGGAAGCGGGACGGAAGTGCCTGGGAAACGCGACCATAAGCTGGTGCTTTCGCTCGAGCGACGTTCTCCGCCTGTGTTTCCTGCTCCTGAGAGTTTGACTTGCCGCCGCCAAGATGTACGACGCGGACGAAGGTGAGGTCCTGCAGAGGGAAGCCGGAGGGCGAGGGGAAGGCAGGGGAGGTTCTCCTGAGGCGCTTCGCCTTCCTCGTTGGGGCGGCTGAAGGGTAGCGATACCCCTGGAAGGTGTCCCTGGTAGCAGCTCAGCAATGGCCACAGAACTCCTGCCCTCTAAAAGAAGGCAGGAATTGTTTCCTTAGGGTGAGATGACGCACGTAAGGTCCAAAAGGCCAAACATCCTAATTGTGACTCCTTGCTCCATTTCTCTCATACACCTTGTCCCTCTCTCTTTTCTACCTTTCTTTCCTTTTTCCGATCCTTTTCCTCTTTCACTTCCCCCACTTCTCTTTCATTCTCTCTTTCCTTTCTCTTCCTTCTTTTCCTTTCATCCTTTCCTTTCCTCCACTCCCCCACTTCTCTCTCCCCCAATCTTTCCTTTCTCTTCTTTTGTCCTTTCCTTCCTTTGTCCTTCCTTCCTTTCACTTCCCTTCTTTCTGTCTTCTTTCCTTTCTTTCTCTTCTTTCCTCTGTTTCCTTCCTCCTTCCCTCATACACATGTCACCTAGGCCCTTCCACACAGCCATATAACCCAGAATCTCAAGGCAGATTACCATATTTGCTTTAAACTGGATTATCTGAGTCCACGCTGCCATATAATACAGTCCACTGTGGATTTTATACAGCTGTGTGGAAGGGGTCCTAGTAGCAGCATCATTCCATTTCTTTTCCAGTTACATCACAGAGGTCACTTCAACTCAGCAATGGCCAATCCATTTTGATCATTTTCTTTCTCTCAGCTTTAGTCCCAAAAGGCTCAAACCCCTCAATTATTTGTGGCACCAAGCAACCAACGTACATATATACTGATAAATAGATAAATAGATATAGGGCTCTTCCAGACAGCTATATAACCCAGAATATCAAAGCAGATAATACACAATATCTGCTTTGAACTGGATTATCTGAGTTTGCACTGCCATATAATACAGTTCAATGTGGATTTTATACAGCCTGTGTGGAAGGGGCTATAGATATCCTGAGTGGCCTTAGCCAAATTACTCACTCCTTCCCTCCCCCCATCCCCAATCTGCAATAGAGGAAAGGTCTGCAATACAATGCTTGCAAAACATTTTTCAAGCATATTTATTTTTCATTGGTGTTTACTTTTTTGATTTAGGTTATTTGGGTTATTGCTATATATTTGATGTTTTTGTTTGCATTGTCACTACCTTGTAAGCCGCCCTGAATCCTTCTAGGAAGATGGGACGGGATACAAATAAAGTTTATTTATTATTATTATTATTATTATTATTATTTAAAACCTTGGAAAACTCTGAACACTTTTAAGGATTATCTCAGCTACGTGTTAATGGTGGCATAGCCTGACCAAGTTGAAGTTTCTAATTACTGAAGCAAGGCAAGATTCGCACCATAATTTATGGTTTTAATTAATTGCTTAAAGTAATTATGTTTCTTTATCCAGGTGGAGGCCACTAGGGGCCGATTGAGAAGGGAGGATTCTTCATTTTAGTGGGGGGGGGGAGTTGAAGGAGGAAAGCCACTTCCCCTAATTTCACTGGTTATTCCCCCTCCCCACTTCCCTTATCTTAAAGGGTTGTTTCCATGACAGAGACATGAGTGGGGAGAATAACAGGAAAACAGGGGGAAATGGTTTTGCTCCTTCAACCCACCCTCCACCCTAATAAAATGAAGTATCTTTCTCTAGCAGTCCCTAGTGGCCTCCACCCAGATAATGGAACAGTACCAAGTAAAGTTCACAGCATGGCATGTAATAAAGTAAATTAAAAGCAATGGAGGAAGCACCCTGAAAGCCTTTTCTGGTTACAGTACATTTACAATTCGGATCTCCACTCAGTGGCAACAGTGACCTTTGAGGAAGGGCTCATTCACTGGAACTGGTGAAAAGGTGTTTACCTGATGCTTTACAATTTAATAAAATGGTCAACCAGACTTGTCAAAGGGCCAAGTGCTTCTAAACTGCCTGGTGTCATGGGAAGGATAAGTTTAAGGAATTCACCAGCTGCTCTGTACACAATTCAAGGACACCTCTTAGACAGGGTATTCCACACATGAGACTCAGCCTGGATAAGCAGAGCAATTGAGCAACATCTCTCCTCTAACAAATGTTTCATCTTTCCATAGTGGGAACAGCTTGCTCTCACCATATCAGTCGGGCAGCAAATCACTCCCAGTTTCAATTTAAACTTTCTAGGAAGTGTCCAGGGTGCTGAACCCAGTCCTGCAGAATAAATTTGGCACCCTGGGGATGGAACCTTTAACATTTATATTAACATGATAATACAGTGTAAACTATGAGTACCCTGCACTGCATGCAGTTGTGGCAACCTTTTCAACCAGTACACAGTACAGCTGAAGTAGGGAGTCTGATTTTCTTGCAAGTTGTTGATCTGCTTTAGACAGTGATGTCTTATAGAGCAATTATGAGCATTTTCAGTTGTAACCAACTTTCCTTACTTTACTGTGACAAACTCATAAACATGCCTAGTGCTATATTCTTAATTCTTGGAAAAGTATTATAATTAGATATATGAAATGCTTTGATATAAATATGAATTCAGATCATGGTTTAGTAGTTTGCACAGAGGGAATAGAATCTCTAGTCTTTGTAAGATTCTTGAATGGTAGACCTGGGCAAGGCCTCTGCTTTATTTCGTTTCAGAAGCATTGCATAAATAAAGAAGTTTAAACTGATAAAAATAAAGGGATCATAAGCAGCTAAATAGTTTTAGACCAGTGGTTCTCAACTTGTGGGTCCCCAGGTGTTTTGGTCTACAACTCCCAGAAATCCCAGCCAGTTTACCAGCTGTTAGGATTTCTGGGAGTTGAAGGCCAAAACATCTGGGGACCCACAGGTTGAGAACCACTGCTTTAGACCAAAAACAGGCAACAGCGACTGCATTGTCTTTAGCTTTAAAACAGTTCTTCCCCTGAAGGCCTCTGGTGAGATCAAAGGAAATAATGTTTGCAATTTTAGAAATAAAAGTAAAATATATTATCCTCATGTATTTTGTGAAAATATTTGCATGGAAAGGATTTCAAAAACTACCATGAAAATGTTGGACTTTGCCTTTTCTTGGCAGATATGCAATATGATGAAGATGATGATGAAATCACCCCAGATTTGTGGCAAGAAGCATGCTGGATTGTCATCAGGTAAGTGCTCAAATAAACAATATGAAAGAATTCAGATTCACTCTAAAATAAACCTTTTTTAAACTTTGTTGAATTTCACTGAATTGAAGAACCTACCCATAATGTCTTCCACAGAAAACAATACATCATGCAACTTGAACATACTAGTATGTTTCAAGTCTCATACTGGAGGAAATTGTTCTTCTGAAGTTACGGATGTTACAATATTCACATGAATAAAAAAAATGAAGACTATGTATTTCTCCTTTGGAACTCTTGTGTAGTTCACTAACATTTTTATATTAATCAAGGAGATCTAGGGAGCTTATTTGAAGAAGCTATTTTGGAATGTGCTGTTATTCTGCAGTAGTAATTCTCATTGATTTTAACTTGTTTTGCAAAGCTCTTACTTTGATGAAAAGGGCCTGGTCCGTCAGCAGCTTGATTCATTTGATGAGTTCATTCAGATGTCTGTGCAGAGAATTGTCGAAGATGCCCCACCCATCGATCTGCAAGCAGAAGCTCAACATGCTACAGGCGAAGTAGAAGAGCCAGTAAGTTTTGATATGATGATGAAACAAATCCAAAATGTTGGTATTTTGTTTAAAGCAGTTTAGGGAAGGTATTTCATAAATGGGATGCCCTGCAGAAAAGGCTATTTTTTTGTCAAGAGATGGGCTGGTAGAGGAAGCAATGTTTCTTTGGGTATTTTGGTCCCAAGCCATTTGGAGCATTGAATACCAGTGCACTGTAGCTAATAGGTAACCAGTTCAGAGCTCTTAGAAATCCTACATGGTTGTACCCATTAGAAGACAAATTCTGCAGGCCATCTTTTAGGCATGCTTCTCATAAAATCAGCCTGGCCAACTAAAGTAGAGTTTGTTTCCCTTTTGTTACTAGTGGCAAGACTAGATCCAAACACTTACCAAAATATTTGCACCTGCTTATTCAAGGAAAGTACAATCCTGTTTTGAAGGGTCAGTACACCAAACTCCCACTTGTTGCCTCTCATCAAACTGAGTCTAGGTGCCAGCAATGAAAAATGACATGTGAAACAATAAGACAGTCCTTAAGAAACAAATCATTTTACAACTTATGTTCCATGAAGCATAAGCATTTTCCCCATAAACTTATCAGAAATGTGCCTATCTCTCTGGTGTCTCTGATTTCATTCAAAATTGTCTGAACATGATGAATTACATAGTTTTTCATATGAAGATCAGGTGGTTTTTTTTTAGTTGATATTTTGAACTATGTACTTTCTGTCATTAGTCTGATGAAGAAGATGGTGAAGTGGAGACAGGGGAACAGTACCAAATCAGGCCTAAACTGCATAGTGCTGGAGGGGCCATGTGCCAATTCTGCTTTATCCCAGTGAATCATCAGCATGCTCTGCTGATGCAGATGTGCCAGGAGGAGTACAGCCTGGCTGAAAATGCCCTGTGCTGCCCTCCTTGGCACTCCTACCTACACCTAGACTTGCTCCCACCCAGCTTGCCATTTATACATTCCTATATTTTCAGAACACTTAATCTAAGTAATAATAGAGAACTAGAATGAAAATTATTTTATAAGCTGCTACTTCTCATATTCTGTAAAATGTGTAATCAAATCCATGTGTTTGGGACATTTTCAGCCTCGCTATCTTCTGAAATTTGAGCAAATTTATCTATCCAAGCCTACACATTGGGAAAGAGATGGTGCCCCTTCACCTATGATGCCAAATGAAGCAAGACTGAGAAACCTCACGTAAGAAACTACAGCTTTTATAATTAGTGATGGTATATGGTATATTCGTGTTTGTACTATCCAATGCCCAACTCCTTTATAGTTAGCTATGTCTATTTGTAACCCTGGCTATTGGTTTTGTTGAACCTCTACTGATGGAACTGTAATGAAATGGGTTTAAAATATTTTTATCTTTAGTGTGCTTTAGCAGATTTTTTTGGTATTTTATTATGCTTTCAGTTGTTATTTTGTCTGTTAAGTTTAATTTGATTGTGTTGTAGTGTCAAAGGTGTTTATCTTGATGTAATTGTCTGTATGGTTTCTTTCTGGCATGGAATGTTTGCCTTACATGTTGGAAACTGCCCTGAGTCCCTTTGGGGGTGATAGGATGGTATACAAATAAATTATTATTATTATTATTATTATTATTATTATTATTATTATTACTGGGTGATGCCTCACTTGTTATCATTGTCAAGTACAGTACAGTAGTACAAAAGATGCAAGCTTGAATTGGTATTATTTAAATTACTTGGGAAATCATCTGTATCATTACAACTCTATTCATCTTCTCTTTTAAAGGTACTCTGCTCCATTGTATGTGGACATAACTAAGACAGTTGTTAAAGAAGGAGAGGATCAGTTACAGACGCAACATCAAAAAACATTTATAGGAAAGATCCCTATCATGCTGCGATCCACATATTGCCTGCTAAATGGCTTGACTGATCGTGATCTTTGTCAACTGAATGAGTGCCCTCTTGATCCTGGTGGCTATTTTATTATTAATGGATCAGAAAAGGTAAGGAGTAGGAATTCTGAAAAAGAAATAGTCTATACAGAATGTTCCATATTTTGCTACATGGTGGCTTCAGTCAGCTTAGCAGTCATGTGTTTACTTTTAAGGCTGTGTCATCTTCTTAAATATAAGAATGAAGTCCTACTGTTCCATTTACCATATATACTTGAGTATAAGCCAAGTTTTTCCCTTATATGCAAGTTAAAGTTATTTATTATTTTACTGTTATTTTTATTTTTAATTACATTTATTATTTTACTCTATTATTATTGGAAGGATACCTAAGCACATTTACATTGAAGAAGGTTAGAATAATGGTTTAATCAGAGTTAGACAGTCTTATCTTAAATTACAGTTTTATGTAAATATTCAAAAACATTTAACCTACAGTGCCTCAATTAATGTAATTTTATTGGTATATATTTTTATTTTGAAATTTACCAGTAGCTGCTGTGTTTCTCACCCTTGGCTTATACTCGAGTCAATACATTTTCCCAGTTTTTTTGTGGTAAAATGAGATGCCTTGGCTTATATTCAGGTCAGCTTATACTCAAGTATATAAAGTAGTTATCACCACTCAGTGCTCTAGAATGCTGAGCATATTAAGAGAACATGAGTTGGGTCTTTCAATTACATTTCCTACTTAGAACAAACAAGGGAAGGAGTTTAAGCTGAAAGAGTGATTTTGTTTAAGACATTAAGTGATCTCTATGTTTCCTGAAAGGGCATTTGGATTGTAACATTAAAAAAACAAAACAAAACCTTGAGCCAAGACATGCCCTATATCCTGTTCAAAACTATTTATTCTAGTTTCCGATTCAGATGATGGTATCTCCACTATATATTGGAATGGGATGGCAAATGCCCTGTTGTTGTTGTTGAACTGCAATTTCCAGCAATCTTAGGCAACATAGTCAGGGGTGAGGTATGCTGGCAGTCACAGTCTAGCAGCTTTGGGTGAGCTGCCTGATTCTCATCCCTGCTTCTGAAGCCAAGATCCTAAAAGCATCTAACGTTATGACCATAAACTTGACAGTAGTTTCTTTAGCCTTGTTTGCATTTTCTGAACAGGTTCTGATTGCTCAGGAGAAAATGGCTACCAACACAGTATATGTGTTTGCAAAGAAGGATTCTAAATATGCATACACAGGAGAATGCCGTTCCTGCCTGGAGAATTCTTCTCGACCCACAAGTACGATATGGGTTAGCATGTTGGCTAGAGGTGGGCAGGTAAGAATGTTAAATAAAACATCAGTTAATGGAAATGTATGTGGGATAAGGAGGGGGTTCAGTTCTAAACTAAAGTTCATGAAAAAGATTAGCAAATATTCTAAATTTCAGGTGTGTGATTTTAAATATTTGTATTTTTATGAAACTGCTTGAGTCGGTAAAGGGGTGTCAGTTACAATGATCCTAAACTGCAATATTTTAAAATACTAATTCCTTTCCATGTTGTACAAGTTTTAAAATTGGCTTGAGTTGAGCTACTGAAAAAATAATTTGGCAGATTTCTTAATTCTTGGGGGGGGGGGCTGGCTTTGTAAAACATAAACAATCTGTGGATTATCATGTTTCCCACCCTTGCCTTAAGTTATGCTGCATTCTTAAGACCTCAGGTTTGTTTGTTTTTATTTTACTGTATCCTGCCTTTTCACCTAAGTTTGGATACATGACCCTAAAATTTCTAATAAGTATAAATTATAAGTGTAAATTATACTTTAAAATAGTTGGTAAAACACTGTAAAATATATTAGTACACTAAAGAGTTCAGATGTCCATTTAGACATGGTCTTCTTTGGTGCAAAAGTGTTTGCTTGCTTGCAGAAGGACAGTAGGCAAAGAGTTCAAATCAAATCAAATCATTTATTTCGGTCATTGACCAGCAAGGCAAAGAGTTATTTTGATCACCCTGCAGAATGATCTAGATGCGCCTAGATTAGGCTAGAGGCTTCTAATCTAGGAGCTTCTAGCCTTCAAATTGTGAGTTTGACTGATGTCTATACCAGTCTTTGGCTCTCCAGGTGTTTTGGACTTCAACTCCCACAATTCCTAACAGCCGGTAAGCTGGCTAGGATTTCTGGTGTTGAAGTCCAAAACACCCAAAGAGCCTAATTTTGCCCATGCCTGATCTACACTGACCACTGTCTAGCTAGATCAGCTCTGTGGCAGCTAAATACCACCATGTGGCTGATCCAGGTCTCCTCGGAGCAAGGCTGCCTTAATATGGGCCTTATTGTAGGTTAGGCTAAGCAAAGCCCCAGGATTTAGGTTTTTCCACCAACTTAAGGGCAGTGAAGACAGTTGGGTGGTTCCTAAGTGGACCTGGACACAACTGTATTCAGTGATGTCCTGCAGCCTGGGGACATCAGATGGCAATTTACTGTCCCCGTCCCCCGTCCCCGCCCCCCCCGTCCCAGCCCTCTTTGCGATGTCCCCAGCCACAACACACCATCTGCCTGCTTTCTGGTATTCTGGTTGATATCAAGCAGAGTGCCGCTGTGCCAAGAATGATGGAAAGAAGGGGGTACTTTCCTTTCCTCCAGCTCCCTTAGAGCAGCTGCACTCTGGTTGATGTGAGTTGGAGCATTGGTGGCAAGATGAGGCTGGGGGTGGAATGACAAGGGCCTGCCATCCTGTATCCCCAGGCTGCAGGATAGCAGTGGTACAGGGAGCTGGGAGAGGGGAGGTGTACACTCATAGTGTGGATGCCCAATGTTGCCAAACCATGTTTTGTACAACTGAGCAAGATGGACTCTCTTCTACTTCTGAGGAAGTTGAGGGAGTCCCTGTTAAGACTCCATGTTGACCCAATTCAGGATCTGAAGCCATGGATAATAGTGAACCCTATATTCTGACTACACCTGAGCAGTGGTTCGCAGACTGTGGGTCAGCAGGTGTTTTGGCCTACAACTCCCAGAATTCCCAGCAAGTTTACCAGCTGTTAGGATTTCTGGAAGTTGAAGGCCAAAACATCTGAGGAACCACAGGTTGAGAACCACTGGCCTAGAGTCATAACAGAAAGAGATAGGGAAGTTCAAAATGCATCAAAGTTAGGGGACATTGCTCGGGTGTTCATTTGAGTTTAAGCATTTTGATTGAATAGTATTTTAACTGATGAGATTCCCAAATAAAACATGGTGGGCATTATCAGGCCTCTTATTGAAGATATGCTGAATTTCATCACATGCATTGATAATTGTTTACAGAATGCTTTATATGTGGAACCAAACTTCTGAAAAAAGACTTTGTAATTTTTTTTTGCACATTCTGTGAGATTTAGCCTGCTTAATTCTATGGTGTTATTTTTAAAAAGTACTTTTTAAAGTTTCTTAATTTCAAAAGAAATTTTTTATACAATGCAAGGAGGTGATGTTAAAGAAAATTGCTCAACTAGATCAGTGTTTCTTTGGTTTCATACTTGCCATTTTCTCATTGTTCTGAATGATTAATTGGAAGATATATAGATGCAGTGTAATTTAGTAACATGTAATTGCTTGTCCTGATATATGTCAAAGTGGGGAAGATATGTTATAGTGTATGGGGTTTCATATTTGCTTGGCTTAAAAATATATTTGATATTAGTACATTAATTTATGGCGTTTTAATGCAAATGTGCTAATCATGTGTCTGTTGTTATCCTTAGGGTGCAAAGAAGAGTGCCATAGGGCAGCGCATTGTAGCAACGTTGCCGTACATCAAACAGGAAGTCCCCATCATTATTGTCTTTCGTGCCTTAGGGTTTGTCTCTGACAGAGACATCTTGGAGCATATAATTTATGACTTTGAAGATCCTGAGATGATGGAAATGGTAATATTTATTGATTTTATCTATTTATTACTATTTATTTACTGTATTAATACCCCACCCTTCTCACTCCGAAGGGTACTCAGAGTGGCTCACAAAAAAGGCAAAATTTGATGCCGCATATACATACAAAGAACAAAACAAAACATATACATTAAAACCAAAAAGTTAAAACATCTCAATTTTATCTACTGATTTTTGACACAGAGTAGTGTGTGTTTTGGAAATACAATTCTCTAATATTATGAAAGCTAAAGTACAAAGTTGATTGCAAATAATTTAAATTTTATGGACCACTTTTATGAACATAATATTTGTTGTATTTAACTGATATATATTTCAGGAAGCTTAGGCTGATAATACCATTTTTTCTTTCTGTGTGTATCAGGTTAAACCTTCTTTAGATGAGGCATTCGTCATCCAGGAACAGAATGTTGCCCTGAATTTCATTGGTTCAAGAGGCGCAAAGCCTGGTGTCACCAAAGAGAAAAGGATCAAGTATGCAAAAGAAGTTTTGCAGAAAGAGATGCTTCCACATGTTGGTGTCAGTGACTTCTGTGAAACCAAAAAGGCTTATTTTCTTGGGTATGTCAAAATAAGCAATATCGTCACACATGGAAACTGTTTCTTTTACAAGCATAACACAAGCCACACAATTTATCCATATAATGTATTGTTTGATTTTTTTTTTAAAAAAACCTGCTCTAAATGATGTCATGTAAAACAAAATGTATTTACAATTTCATTTGGTGTTCAGCCAAGGGTAATTTGATAGATAAAACAACTGAATGCTTTATTGCAGATAAGCAAGATGTCTTTCAACTTTTTTCTCCATCTTTGAAGTGGCAGAAATTTGTGAAAGACTTCTCTTGACTACCTTAAAGCTTTAATCTTTCTCTCTTTCAGGTACATGGTTCATAGGTTATTGCTGGCAGCTTTGGGGAGAAGGGAGCTGGATGACAGAGATCACTACGGCAACAAACGACTGGATCTTGCAGGGCCATTACTTGCTTTCTTGTTCAGAGGGTGAGTGTAGGAAGTGCTGTTGTTTCCTAATCTTGGCCAGTACTGGCTTGGATCCTGGGATATGGTATTGGAAAAGGTTGAGAGGAAGGTATATATCCTACACCTTTCATTGGACAGCTCCCTTTCAGTTGGACTAAATTCAGAATTCAGAGCAATCTGCGACTTTGGCCAAGGCCTCATTAAGCAGCTTTCCCCCCACATTAATTTGTAGTTTGGCTGTCATAAAACTATGCATTGTGTAAATCAGGAGTGAAGAAAGTGTTTCCCATGGACCAAGTGTGACCCAAAAGGTCTTTTTTGCAGCTCTTATTCACCAGTTTATTTTTACAATATTGGGTGAAAATTGTTCCAAATTTGCCCCAAATATGACATCTTGCCAATTCTCCCAAACCATAAACACTGCCTGCAAAGCCCAAGAATGTTGGAAATGGTTTCCAGTCATATCCGGTTTGCATTTTCAGCTAAAAATATGATTCTGCCTACAATTGTAGGGAGGGCGAGTAAAATTTGGCTTTGAACCCTGGTTTGTAGAAAGCAAATGACAGGAAGTATTTTCCCACTGTTCTTTGAGTCCCAGTTTTGGGTGAGAGACAGAGAGTTTAAATAAAATTGATAACTGCAATATTAGACACAAGATACAATAATACTAAAACTGGAGTCATCAACTGAGACAAATTGTAGGAAGTTCAGGATAAATTAAATAAAATTATTATTCTCACACATTATCTAAAACAAGGTAATGTTTTCAATTGGCCACTTATCTTTTTAAAAGAATTAGACAAATTAATGAACAATAATTTTGTCAATAACTATTAGTCATGGTGATCGTGTTACTCACAATAACCGTTATGCTGATGCTTACGGCATAATAAGTTTTGATGTGCTTTATCTGTTTTAATGTTTTAAGTGGATCATACAAAATGCTAGCAGTTTGAAAAACTGCAAATGTGAGTAGATCAATAGGTATCATTTCTGCGGGACGGTAACAGTGCTCTGTTCAGTCATGCTGGCCACATGACCTAGGAGACATCTGTGGACAACACTGGCTTTTCAGCTTAGAAATAGAGATGAGCACTACTCCCCAGAGTCGGACATGACGAGACTTAATGTCGTCATTAAAGGGGTGCCAAGGCAGCAGCGGGGAGCCTCCTGAGCCAGAACACTCGGGGAGGGAGGATGAGTCGAAGGGAAGCGACGGCAACCTTAGCTATATTGTATTGTATTTATTTATTTACAGTATTTATATTCTGACCTTCTCACCCCAAAGGGGACTCAGGGCGGATCACAATACACATATACACGGTAAATGTTCAGTGCTGGGTTTTTTTGACATACAAGACATACAGACAAATAGAGGCCATTCAGCAGTTCTTCCACCGGATCCTGGAGGTTGCTTGATTTGGCCACAGGGGGAGCTGTCACTTCGTCCACTATGACGCCGAGCCTTTTTGATCGTAGCATTTCCTCCTTTCTCTCCGGTATTTTTATGGTGTCATAAATTAGCCTCCCCATTTTAAGCGGTCTTTAATTTCTCTACTCATAGCTGTTTTGAACTGCTTAGGTCGACAGTGATCTGGGCAATATTTTTTAACAGCTATTTTTTAAACAGCTATTAACAGTCAGGCGCTCAACCCCAACTCAGGCTTCAAACTTGCCACCTTTCGGTCGGCAGTGATGTATTGCACCTGATTAACCAGTTGTGCTATCAGCCCGGCCCATGTATGTGTAATGTAAGATGCCTTGGGTACTATATGGGAAATGCAGGATTTAACTAAATGACTAAATATTAAGTCCAGTGTTAGGCTTTATGGTTCTCGTTGCTAAGGAATGTCAATGGGTGCTTATTGTTGCATTCATGTGTTGCAATGCATGTTAGTAATGCATTTTTCTGATTTCTTCAACAGAATGTTTAAGAACTTGCTGAAGGAAGTTAGAATATATGCACAGAAGTTTATTGACAGAGGGAAAGATTTTAACTTGGAGCTAGCAATTAAAACCAGAATTATATCAGACGGGCTGAAATACTCCTTGGCTACAGGGAACTGGGGAGACCAGAAGAAAGCTCATCAGGCCAGAGCTGGAGTATCTCAAGTAAGGTTTCTTCCAGTCTATTTTTTATTTGAAAAGATTATGTTTCTGTTGTTTCTCTGGAATTTTGTTAAGTGACACACAACCATTAGGTTTGTTAGCTGAAATCATTGCGTGAAAATGTATTTTATATGCCTACCAGATTCTGCTTGCCTTTCTGCAAGATAAATAACCCATTCTGTTTTCAAAAGTCTTGTAAGTTCTTCTTCTGCGTGAATTGCTGCCTCAGTCACCTCTTTCCCTTCTCCATCCATCCTTTACTTTGTTCTGTTTACTTGAACTTCTCTTCTAATGATCTTAGCATTTCTGCCCTTCTCGTTGGTAGCATCACCATCCTTCTTATTCTTCACTATCCGTTTGAAATGGAACACTTATCCAAATATGCATCTGAGTCCATATTTGCTATCAGATGCCTTTTGCTCATTCACTGCCTTTGAAGTGATTTCTATTCATCATCTATACTGTAGTACTTATGTTTTATATGATAAATGCTTCAAATTAATATGCAATCACTGCACAATTGTTAGGGAAAATTACCCAAAAATATAGCAGAGCATCCAACATACAAACAGAATATTAAAAGTTGAGCAATCAGTTCACAGCAAGCAGAGTGTGAAGTGCCGTTGGTTGTGGCTGTAATGAATTTAGAGCTTGGGCAGGCAAAGATGCAGAGTCCAATCTTTAAAAAAATCACAAAAGGTTTATTTACAATAATATGAACTAACTACATTTCTTAACAGTTGTAGAACTGGGTCTGAGCTACTCTATAACCCATCTCTTCTAAGGTTTCAAGAAAGGGAAAAAACACCCAAGCACTACATCTCTCCTGACACGCAGAGCAAGAGAGAGATATCAAAACACACAACACATTCAAAAATGTTAAAAATGCCATTCAGAAGTAAAGGCTTGTAGTGGAAAAGGTATCCATTTTACACAACCAATCAGAATGAGAGCAGAAACAGAGAGGAGAGAAGAAATTAATACATTCCAACTGTCACACAGGAGACATGGGGGAAGGGAAACCCTCAGCTTATTCTAAGCTAACTAACTGTTCCTCATTGAGGACTTGAGACTTGGACAGTGTTGGGTTGAATCCTAACAACAATAAGTCTTGTTATAGGAAGGTAGTTTTTTTTTTACTTCGTCAAGATCTAGACTATGTGTCTTATGTTTACACCTAAATCTTTTCTTGGTTGCATTCCTTTTGAAGGTCTTGAACCGACTCACCTTTGCATCTACGCTTTCCCACTTGCGTCGTTTGAATTCCCCTATTGGCAGAGATGGTAAATTAGCAAAGCCCAGGCAATTGCACAACACATTGTGGGGAATGATCTGTCCTGCTGAAACTCCAGAGGTAATGAACAGATTAGATCAAAAATAAGTGTATAATGTGTGTATATGACTCTGTGTACCCATCTGTATATTTTTCTCTGCAGTGACAGTTTTATTTTTAGGCTTTGTAATGAAACTTGATTATCTGAAAAAACCTTTATTTTTTAGATCAAACCCTCAGGCTTCTCAGAAGTTGAGGTTCTTCAGTAACAGAAAAATATTAAAACCTTGCCTGCCATATTAGTCTTCTCTTACATTTCTAAATAGAATGCTAAGCAAGTTTTAGGATAAATCTCCCTTAAGAGGGGTGACAGTGAGGTCCAGTAGGCAAGGCACTTGCTTTCTGAGCAGAATACATAACTGAGCAGAATTCAAACTTTCAAATAATAATAATAATAATAATAATAATAATAATAGTAATAATAATAATAAAAACTTTACATCACACAGTCCTAGATGCTTGGGAAGTGTTTGACTTGTGATTTTGTGATACGAAATCACGCGTATATATTTTGTTTGCCGTGACATACTGTGTTTTTGTGTCAGTAAAATAATTTAAAAAATATATTCCTCCCTTTCTGCTCAGAAGGACTCAGGGCAGATTCCAAACATAAAAGGCAAACATTCAATTCCCGAACACAACAGCAATACATCCATAGTAACAAAATTTGACAACCCAAAATATAAAAACAAATTATGCCTTAACAACTAAAATTAAATTAAAAAGCCTGTTATATCAGATATAAGACAAAACACTGAACAGAAGCATCAATTTCCCATTTCCTTGGAGGCAAATAGATTGCTCATTGCTCAAGATATCCATTGCGTATTGTGGAACTTCCATATACTGCCATTTTTTCACTATGGTTAGTTGATCCTTTTTTTAAAATGTAAATTGAATTTGATAAATAAGGTACTGTTCTGCCCCCGCACTAGCTCTTTATTTGGAAGGTGTCTTTGATGCAATGAATGGATTGTATGCTACGTATTTGAAGTAAAAACAGCAATTTGTTAAATAACAGATCTCAGTCTTCCTGTCCTCAAAGAGTTCTACTACCAGTCTATGTGAGGGGAGTTAAAATCCTTGAAACACAACTACAGTTCTGACTGGATTATACTTTAATGTGACTTCAGATGGATTTCAGTCTGTATATCCTTTGTGTCTTTACTTTTATATAGCTTTGATGTAACGATGTATAGTTTTGACGTGACTGATTTGCGTAGCCTCAACAGGATGTTCTGTTTTGTAGTTCTTCCACCTTCCTTACTCTTCACCTTCCAATACCACATTGCCTGACTCTTCAAGGAGCCAGAAGGGTCTGGGCTGAGGCTCTGCCCCTGAGATGTGTCTTAAAGTAAAAGGACGAGGGAAGTTTCAAACACAAGGAGGAAGAGGTTATCTAGACTAACCCCACAAACTATACACAGAATACTAATCTCTTCTAGCTAAATAGGGGCTTAACAGGAGTAAACAACGAGAAAGCTTGCAGAGGCACAACAGGTATAGATGGGAAAGTCTTGCTCTAAACACCTTCTGATTTGAAATGATTATCAAAATGTTTATGTCGTATGGATATGGAGATGATTGAATTACAAGAAATGGCGTCTTTTCCTAGGGTCATGCTGTGGGACTTGTGAAGAATCTTGCTCTCATGGCCTATATTTCTGTGGGATCCCAGCCATCTCCAATTCTGGAATTTTTAGAAGAATGGAGCATGGAAAACCTGGAAGAAATCTCTCCAGCAGCCATTGCAGAGTAAGTATAAAAGGCAGTTGAATCTCAGGAAGCTCCATGTAGCTCAGTTTAAGGGCAGCCTTCTCATATAGCTTTTTCTTGTCTTTAGTGCTACAAAGATCTTTGTAAATGGATGTTGGGTTGGAATCCACAAAGACCCAGAACAGCTTATGAATACGCTGAGGAAATTGCGTCGTCAGATGGACATCATTGTGTCAGAGGTATATATTGGGTTGTTCTACAAGATGGAAGGCACTACATAAAAAATAATTAGTGTATAAACACTGCTTGATACAAGTATTGTTGATCAGATTGGTTTTGGTTTGTTTGAAATGAATGCATTTACAAATGAAAACTTGTATGTTAAATGCCTTCTGCTTTACTTATATAGGTGTCCATGATCAGGGATATCCGGGAGCGAGAAATTCGCATTTATACTGATGCTGGCAGGATTTGCCGCCCACTTCTGATTGTGGAAAAACAAAAGTTGCTTCTAAAGAAGAGGCATATTGACCAATTGAAGGAACGTGAATATAACAATTACAGGTAGGATGCTCCTGATGGCATTTTGCTTGCTTTTGAAGGGAAGCCTCTTTTATTTTCCATTAGCAATCATGGTCTCTTCATGGCAAGGGAAGCAGTCTGATGTGATAACTGGAAAAAAGTTTGGCGAATTGCATTACTCAATACGTGCATTACAGCACTACAAGTAAACAGGCAGGAGTTTTAAAAATTATCCCGTATCAGCCACTTGATATGTATGAGAACTTGAAAGGTTCTCATCCAGAATGTGAATTTTTGCTGCTGTTGTTCAAGTACAGTTTGACATATGGCAATCGTATCAGGGTTTTCCAACAACATTTTTTCCAAAGAGATCTGTCATTTCCTTCCTCTTAGTCTGAATCATTGTGATGAGCCCAAGGATTTCCATGAATGCATGTAGACTGCAACATTGATAACACTGTGTAACAAAATTTGAAAATGTTTCTGTTCCTGGCTTGAAAGTGTTATTCTTGTTTAGTTGTGTGGTATTTACATTAAAAGTAGTTGCTATATTCCAGAAACTTTGTTTTTGTAGTTGCCACAAACTATGTTGAATTGTTTGAGACTCAGATGAGATATTCATTGAAAAACTAGCAAAATGTGCTGCAGGTTGTCCCACAAAAGCCAAGTTTTTGCAGTTTAATAAACTTTCCCCATGTTTTTATAATAGAAGCAATTAGGAAATTACAATTGTAACCCAGGAACAAAAATCATGTTACATTTTTATTGTAATATTCCAGTGCTCAAAACACTATAACATGCTGGCTCTCTAGTTTGATTTTAGGTGTGGCATACTTACTGTCCTTAACATTTCACTTTATGTGTAACTGAATAGCTTGCATCTTGCAAAAGCAGCACCTTCTGAGGCTAGTTTATTTATTTATTTATTTACAGTATTTCTATACCGCTTTTCTCACCCCTAGGGGCACTCAAAGCGGCTTGGGTATGTTGTAGCAGAACTTCTGCAGCATAATCTCAGTATGACTTTTGTACATCAGTTTTTGCTGCTGTTTTGGAGATGTTTCCTCCCTGTTACAGAAGAGAACTGCAGTAAAGGCAGTGTGCTGACTTAGCATGTGTTGTTGGGCTGTTTTAACTGTTCTATTTGATCCTTATCCAAAATGACAACTGTGGGGCAACTAACCAGAGTTTCCTGCTTGAATAATCATCCTGTTACAAAACAGATTAATGGCACCATGCTGAACCAGACTTTGCTCCTGGCAACAAAGATTTAATATTGCAGCCATCAATATCACTGTGTGCTAACTATGAACCTTTCTTGAACTTCTGGATACACTATTTTTTTGGCTGGATTTCAGAAGGAGTCTGCATTGCTTTGTCATAGTTCTCTAACAGCAGGGTTGGATTAATGCCTCAGTCTACAAATACTCATTGTCAAGGAACAGGGTACATGTATATGGCTGTTCTTCACTGCCTACGAAAAACTTACAGATTGAGTGTTCCCTATCAAAGTATAAACATGAAATTTATCACTTTGAGGGCGTGGTCTAGAATCAAAAGTTCTCTCTTACTTTGTGTCAATGTGGGAAGCAAGGAATTTGCAGCAAATAGCTGGTTTGGAGCTCCAAAACTGGTAGATGATGATAATAATAATTTTATTTGTACCCCACCATCATCTACCTGAAGGGACTTAGGGCAGCTCACAAAAGCACTTTGAAGTGCCACACATAAAACAATGATACATGAGCTTATTAAACAAAAATATAAGTCTAAAAAAACGAACACACATAAAACCTCATCTGATAAAATTGTAAATTTCATAAAACACAGTAGAATCTGTGAATAAAACTGGCTATCTACAATTAACAAACCAAAGTCCTGGAGTGAAGACAATAGCCGAGTTCTCAATCTGACCATAATTTACACAAGGTCAAATGCCTGTCTAAAAAGCCATGTTTTTAAGCTACTAGGAATAGAAGGAGATGAAGCCAATATTCATCTTAGTGATCTGTGAATCCAGAAGGGAATAGTGGTCACAGATAAGATAGAGACTCTGCTCACAATCTTAGTTTTTTTGTGAAATTTGCCCCAGCTTTCAAACTGTCTTTCCACTGATATAATAATTCAACTTGAAAGAAGAGTGAAAATTGGGAACTGTCTCCATTTATGGCAAGTTTTTTTTACTTCTCAGTTAACTCTGTCTAAATTCAACTAGAAAATTTAAGAGTAGGTATACCAGTTGGCTAACATTTTTTCCCTCTCCTTCATTTCAATGTTGGAAGTGGGACTCTTTCTTTTTTGGCTGCTGGAGCGAGGTAAAGGCCAAGGCCAAAACGGTCACAAGTTGAAAAACAATTTATTAGTAATTGGAAGGCACCTCTAGACACCCCAAAACTAAGCCACTCTAAACTATAAAGATTGTATAATCAGCCATGTACATTCCAAGTACTTGGCTGTGAGCTGCATTCAATTAAAGTTACTCTACATCCGTGGTTCTCAACCTGTGGGTCCCCAGGCGTTTTGGCCTATAACTCCCAGAAACCCTAACCAGTTTACCAGCTGTATGATTTCTGGGAGTTGAAGGCCAAAACATATGGGGACCTACAGGCTGAGAACCACTGCTCTAGAAGCTCTGAAATGGTTTGCGGTCATTAATCGAATACAAGAAAAGGATGGTATTAATTGATTCCGCCAATAAGACAGCTCCCATCAGTGGCTATGGTGAGAAAGATGATTTTTTTTTTCCTTCCCTGAGTGCATTGATTGAGAGATCGGAACAGAAAGTGATGCTTCAGGGGCAAGGAAAAAGGGAAGTCCTAACGTTTGAGCAGAAATAGGGACTCTGGTGACATCAAGGCACTGCAAATTGCAAAAGTATAATGTCTAATATTAAATTATTGTTAGCCCTCTAATAATTGAGGTGTATTGCTTAGTTGGCAGGACTTGGTGGCCAGTGGTGTAGTGGAATACATTGACACGCTAGAAGAGGAGACTGTTATGTTGGCCATGACTCCAGATGACCTGCAGGAGAAAGGGATTGCATACTGTTCAACTTACACACACTGTGAGATTCACCCGTCCATGATCCTAGGAGTCTGTGCCTCCATTATCCCATTTCCAGATCACAATCAGGTTTGTAAGACTTAGAACTAAACTGTGGCAAAGTGTAAATTTGGTTGCTGTGAGTTTTCCGGGCTGTATGTAATGTGTGCAGTGTTTTATGTATGCTTAAATGTTAATAGATATGAAGAAGTTTTGCCACCTTACTTATTTTTTTTAACTTTTATAGTCTCCTAGGAATACCTACCAATCTGCTATGGGCAAACAGGCCATGGGTGTTTATATCACCAACTTTCATGTTCGAATGGATACACTTGCCCATGTGCTGTATTATCCTCAGAAGCCCCTTGTGACTACGCGCTCTATGGAATATCTGAGATTCAGAGAGTTGCCAGCAGGTAGGTTTGTGAGTTGCTACTTAACATAAACTTAATCACCTGAAGCCTATTTGAGAACCATGTCTTTGACTCAGTTTTATGCCCCTGGAGCTGAGGAGCTGTAAACTTTATTATAATATTCCTTTGTAATTAATTTTTTTAATGGAACTTCTGATCTTAACTGGAGTAGCAAGCTAAGAGTATCAGTATTGTTGCTTTAATTTAAGGTTAACTTAATAAGCTTGTTCACATGTTTCTCAAGTTTTCACTATGATAGCTCCAGTGCAGTGGTTCTCAACCTGTGGGTCCCCAGATGTTTTGGCCTTCAACTCCCATAAATCCTAACAGCTGGGAAACTGCCTGTGATTTCTGGGAGTTGTAGGCCAAACACTGGAGACCCACAGGTTGAGAACCACTGGTTCAAGCTGTTTCCTAGTTGGTTGGAAAAGAAATAAAGATTATTATGTTCGTGGTGGATTATTAGGTTTGTGATAGATCATAATAAGACGACAATCATGGTTTCTCAGTCAGTTGCTCTGAGTGACAATCAGAAAACCAGTGTTTGGAAAGTTCAGCAGATGGAAGAACATTAAGTGACAGTGCTGGGGGTGGAAGGAAACATGTTCAATTCCAAGCAGATTTCTTCCCAGGTCCTTCACAGAGATACTTAAATTCTATTTCATGAGCACACTACCAAGTTTCTCCACCTGGGGGTGCTGCATGCATTTATGAGTTTTTAAAGTCTTGCAACCATTGTTTATTGGGGAAATCAGTACTTCAATATGGGATTTTGTAGTTTTGTGCCTTCAGGTTTTTTATGATTCATAGTGACCCTAAGGCAAACTTAGCACAGGATTTTCTTGGCAAAATTTGTTTGGGGGGGGGGTGCCTTTCACTGAGGATGAGAAAGTGTGACTTCTCCAAGGTCCTCTAGGTATCCAACACTTGAACCACTACACCGCACTGGTTCTGTTATTATATGTACTTTATACTAAGTAAGTTCTAAATGGATAAATGCCCCC